CCACCTTCAGTCACTCATTTGCACCAGGCTGCGGCAGGGGTGCGGACTCTTGCTGGGAGTGCAGGCTCTGAGGTGGAGGCCAGGGATGAAAGTTTGGGGTACAGATAGGAGCTCCAGGCTGGGGCAGGAAGTTGAGGTGAGGGGGGTGAGGGTTACAGCTGGGGGGGGGGGATGGGGGGGGGGGGGGGGGATAGGGGGTTGGAGTGCATAAGGGGCTCTGGGCTGGGGCAGAGAGTTTGGGTGCAGGTGGGGTTATGGGCTCTGGAAGGGAATGGAATGTGGGAGAGGGCTCAAGGCTGGGATGGAGGGTTAGGATACAGGCTCTGAGCAGTTCATACCTCAGGTGGCTCCCAGAAGCAGGCACTTAGGTGCAGGTGCGCCCAGGAGGCTCTGTGTGCTGCCCTTGCCTGCAGGCGCTACTCCTGCAGCTCCCCATTGGTCACGGTTCCTGGCCAATGGGAGTGGCAGAAAGGCCGCTTGAAGAGGGGGCAGTATGCAGAGCCTTCTGGCCACTCCTGTGCCTATGAGTCAGAGGGACACACTAGCTGCTTCCAAGAACTGCAGGGAGCCTACCTGAGCCCCACTGCACCCGCGGTGCTGATCAGAGTTCAAAGTTTTTTGAACTGCGAGTTCTGGTCCAACTTAGAGGGTTGGCAGTCCTACTGACAACATTGTCAAGAGATTGGGAATATTTCCACTTGACTGATGGAGGCAGACAGAGGTGTGGGTTGCAGAGCCGCCAAATGCCAGTGCTAGGATTAAACCCCAGAATCCCACTACTGTCACCAAGCAGAGCACAACCACTCCCTTTTTGTTAGCCAAAGCAACTGTTAACTGCAACACCTAAAAAGACACATTTTTAAGAAAAGGGATCAAATATAACTCCCATTCAGAAAAGTACAAATACAAAATGAGTGACAGTGAAGGCTACCATCTCTGTAGTCTTGTACAGTACATTTCATATATATAAATTAAAGGTGAAAACCTTCCTTGTGACAAAATAAAAACCATCATTTTAGAAAGATGACCATTAGGTTCTACATTTCAGTTACTTGGCTTTGAGCTGTGGTGCACTTTAGGAATGTAAAATCCCAATAAATCAGTTAACTGTTAGGTTATCCTAATGTTTAATGGGTTAGCCGAATGAGCAGGACCCCGGGGGCGGGGCCACTCCAGCACAGTTAGAGCAGCCCTCAGCCTGTGGGGCTGCCAACTCCTGGCCCCCATACAGAGGGTTGCTGCTGGGACTGACTCTCAGCTTTGGCTGCCCGCTGCATGGGGCTGGAGCAGCCCTCCACCTGCGGGATGCTGCTCCTAGGAATGGTTAACCGTTATCCAGCAAACTTCACTTATCTACCAAAGTGAACTACTAGAAATCTAATTGTTTCTTTGGACACAAGAACCGAAGTGTTAACAAATCCACTAGTTATTCTTGGCAGTTTTCAGAACAAGTTAGCTAACATTCCCAGAGAATGCAAGGACACACAAACATGGACAGCGACATATTAAAAGTGAAACTTTTAGTTCCATATCAACATATGACTGACAAACATTATTTCAATGAGATAAGGAAAAAAGCTTCCAAATTTAGTAACTGCTTTTCCTGCTCTCTTTTTACTAACTTAAGATGCCATTGAGGAAAAACACCCTGGCTTTAGAAAGGGGGTAACTAGCATAAACATATTAAGCTACTAAAAAATTGAGTTAATATTGCCGTTTTAAATACTGTAGCATACTATGCAATATCAACTTTGAGAAAATACTAGAGAGCACACAGTGATTAGCTGTTTTACCCAGATTGTAAGTCTATAAATGGCAGTGTAGGGATTCAGAATTATTTTCTCTAAATAATCACCAGAAATCTCAGTTCAATAGTCACTATAAGGGCACTTTAACTACATCTAATACTGGTCAATTAGTTTAGGGCCGTGTTTATGAACAAACAAGAACACAGCTTGGCTTAGAGAGCCCAGGGTGAGTTTGAAAGTTGTGAAAAGCATCCTTTTATTTGAAACCTGGACAGGTTTGTCTGAATGACTGCTGATCAAATACAGATCCTCACACTTTTTTATAGCTGCTTTTTAGATTAGAATCACACATAAGTTAGAAGTTCAATAGTTACTGCCACATAAAAATGGAGAAAACAATGAATAAATGCTTTACGATATAGGAACAGGGGCACTGACAAGCGAAATAAACATCTTGTGTTTAATTTAAATTAAACTATCCATCCACATAGAATTTTTTCCCCAAAACAAAGGGTTTTTTGCATGCATTTAAAGACACGCATTATCAGAGACTCGATGTAAACTCAAGAGTTACACGCAGATCAATAGTCTAAAAGGGACAACACTCAATCCACTCTTCCAGTTATTTATATTGGTAATAAATACTACCAAGCAACATCAGACAATTTCTAGTATTTTAAAATCTTGAAATCACTGTGACACTAACTTAACTTATGTGGCCCAGTAAATGTGTGTCTCAGTATATATTCAAACATAGCAAAATATTTTGGATCTTAAATCTGGTCCCACATCATGGACACATACAGAGAAACACTTTCATAACTGGTTGGCAGGCCATAATGTAAACGTGGTCCAGGACTGAATTTGGTTCACAGGTCAGGTTAGCTAGCGTCTACCTTGTTTACTTCATGCAGTTATTCTGCAGATACTACACGTGAAAAATGATCTATTTCAAGAGAAAAGAAAAAGGAAAAAGGAAAGAAAAGGAAGCCACATGAATTGGCAGAAGGTATGCCAATTAGTGGGTATAATCATTATCAAAAGAGAAAAGGGTATTTTCATGGAAGTAATTGTATCTGCATACTGTGAATCTTCAGAGACAAACTAGAGTCAGAATTCCAATTACCTAAAGGTTCCCGCAGGGAAAATGTGAGTGTGACTTGCCAATTAAATTACCCAACAAGGACTTGCTGAAGTTAGACCAGTAAGCATGCAACACTACGGAACAGAAAAAAAGAGATGCTAACAGTGAGATTGGAAAGGGGAGTGGACGAGGTATAACGGAACGACAGACTTATTCTAACAGGTCTGTATCACATCCTAATTACATGCAGTTTTCTTTCCTTCAGATGGATCTGCAGTGGCACACAGAGCTTGAACAAAGAACTTAGATTTTCTGTTTGTTAACAAAGCAGCAGCAATAAGATATTTAGAGGAATTTTCCACAGAAGCCAGAGAGAGAGGGTATTCTGGTACTAATCCTTTACCATAAGGCATTCAGTGTTAGAAGAAGAGTCACAACTCTTTTGCCTTCTACATGATACCAAATTTGCTGCTTTCTGCTTGTTTTGGCTTAATTTATTTTAGGCCTCAGTGCTTACACATACTATGTGAAGAGTTTGCAGCAGGTCTTATCTTTATAGCAGGTTTTGGTCTTTTTATTTTAATATATTTTTAAAAGGAAGGAGGTCTTTATTGTTCAATAGCAGGATATCACCTCTTGCTGTTTTCTTTTCCTAAAAGGGTTCTGATAAATAGTGCAACTGAAGTAATTGACGATATGCCTGCAAACATAGCAACAACATGATTCTCTGACAGTTAATATCAAATAGGTAGTGTGTGTGTGTAGCAGTGGGATCCAACTGCAGCAGTTCACCTTTTTTAACCTTAACCTTTTCCATTATGTTTTATAGCAATGATTCCTGAACTGTACTCCATGAATCACCAGTGGTTTGCAAAGCACTTGTTGTCTTTCCTTATTCCAGCTGTTAAATAGCATTAAAAACTAAAAAACAATAGTTCTGTAGCACCTTAAAGACTAACAAAACATGTTGGTGGTATCATGAGCTTTTGTGGGCACAAGCCCACTCAACTAAATACATACTAAATGCTTTTCTGATACTACTTTTCCATATTGACAACTTCCAGAGAGATGTTATCTGATTGAAAACTGGAGTTAAGAAACACAAATAAAGAACCCCTGTAGTATGGCTAGATTCAGTTACTGCCTCCTGACTATTAGTCTGGGGAAATGAGACAGGAAACATCAGTGAAAACAGACATGGGCAAAACACAAACTTCAGTTCTGCTAGCTTTTACTGCTGGGTAGGTAATAAAAGAAACTCTGATCAAAAACAGTATTTGCACTTTACTATTCACATTCTTGAAAAGAACACAGAACTATTCCAGTAGAAAATACCACCACCAGACTGTACAATGTTAACTGCTGAAGAACTATTTTTCCTCTTTGGGCAAGGAATTTGAGACAATCGTGTTAATTTCTATGAGAAGTTTGCAACTTCTCGTTTCTACCCCAACTGACGGCACAGTTAAGAACCCAACAGCTTACCAGAACTATATCTTTATTTAACCCTCACATTAGCAACCATAAGGACATGTGACTTTTCAGATCATTAGAGTGCATAATGCAGTGAAAATAAATGTGTGCACTGTATTCAGACCAACAGGGTAAAACATAATTGCAGGTGGAGTGTGAATACACTATCAAAAGAATGTAACAGCTCACGACTTGTATTCATACCTGTGAACTAAAGATTAAAAGAAAAAAAAAAAAACCCCAAGCATTTCCTACTAGACTTCTCAAGTTCAAATTATACTACCTTTTCTATCCTGGAGAAGTAAACGGCATAGAGACCGATGTTCAATAAAGCTGTAATTATGTTATTTTGTACCTCTCTAGAGCCTTTAATCAAAGGATTGTTAAAACACTTTATTATGCCTCACAACAACCCTGTGAGGTAGGTACGTATATACCCATTTTACAGAGGAGTAAACTGAGGCATGGTGCTGTAAAGTGATTTGCTTATATCACACAGGAAATCCACAAGAGTTAGCAACTGAAACAAGATACCTACCTCTCAGCCCATTTTTTCTAATCACTAGGCTATGCTGATTTTCTAATGAAGACATAAATTGATTTATTAATGGTTTCCTAAAAAAGGTTTCTAATATACTGTAAAACAAGCATAATGAGAGAAAGAAGTTGTTAGGCAATGAACATAGCAAACTTACCTTACCAGTGCATCTGGTTTGCTTAGCTGGTTATTAGGAATACAGTTTTCCATTAAGTCCTTGTGTGTGCTTGGGCTCTTGCTAGTGCATTTCTGTTTTTTCTCATTTTTAGTAGATGAGGAAGGGATGCTCCCATTAGTTGCACTATGACTGCGAGGCGAGGAGTTCACAACTCCACTGGCATTTTTGTAATTTTTGGATGAGGCAGTGCATGAGTCCTCTTTTAAGAGGTTTTCTGTACTTCCAACAAGATCATTATTTAATCTTTTACTATTGATATGGTTTTCCATATATTCAATTTCTTGTATTTTAGAGTCTACTGGTTGTAAAATATTGTTATTTATTCCAAGGTTGTGTTTCTTGGCATCCTTGTCCTTTTCTTTCCCCTTTTCTCTATATTCTAGCTCCGGCAAGGTTGTGGATAATTTTTTATTGGCTGGAATGCCTCCATTGTGCTGTAAAAGTACTGAAGAATCCATATCAGATAATCCTTTGGCTGCTGCAATAGCAAGAAACCGAGACAGTTAAAGCCACAGAACAGAATGATTTAATAACTGTATAACCAGTTTTAAACAAACATAAAAACAAACAAATCATTAAGCAAACGTCAATCGTTTTTAGTGAAAACCACCATCAAGGTTATATTTTGAGGAAAAAAGCACATCAAACATACTTAGATATTTAAAAGCTTAATTTAACAAACTTAATAATTTTTGGATACAAAACATACAATTCTAAAAAAGCTAGTTTAGTTGTAGATACCTGCCCTAAAGTGTAAAGAATACTACTAACTGACTAGATTATAAAAGTTGCTAATAAACTGTTGAAAGTTAAGAGGCTAGCTAGATTTAGAGAAACAATTATCTTGAAATCTAATCAATTTTAAAAGACCTGTGCTACATAAAGCTGCTTTTAATTCTAATGCCCTCAAGTCCACCCTCCTTCATTTTGTATGGCTTTCTAAAATGTTTATAATTTTAAACAAGCAGCCCTGTGGCATCTTATAGACTAATAGGTTTATTGGAGCATAAGCTTTCGTGGGCAAAGACCCACTTCATCAGATGCATAATTGTAAAGGAATTTCCCACCTTGTTACTGCGTGAAATCAACAGGGGAAACTGTAAATTAATTACTCACAAGTGCTATCAAAACCAGAAAGATTTTCTCCCCCCACCCAATATTACTGATTACTTCAAGTAATGATGCTAGGTTAAAAAAAAAAAGTCAGACAAGAATCTGAAATCTAATGTCTTGTTTTTAAAAAGGGGTCAAGATTTTAATCTTTAGTTAGGAAAAGGGCCGGAGCATTGCACAATGAGCTCTGTATGGCTCTGAGGACTGGAAGGGGGCGGGGTGAGGGGGGAGAGGCTGGCATGGTGTGCTCCCGGCAGTGCTGAGAGCTGGCTGACCTCACCCTGCCCCTTCCATGATCATGGAGCCAGTCCCCCTTCACCTTGCCCAAGGACCTAAGATGTCCGGTATTTTCTGATTTTTTCCCTCCTGACCTGGAGGAGGAAATGCCAGGCACCTGGCAACCCTACAAATACTCAGTGTCCAGCCTCCCCCTGCCCCACCAAGCTCCACCCACCCCCAACACTCCCAGTCCCCAAGGTTACCTGGTTCTGCAAGGCTGCCGGCAAAATGACCAAGGGGAAGCAATGACTCCCCTGGGTCTTAGTGCTCAACCTTTCCCCTGTTCCTATACCTGCACTCACTCATAAAGGGAAAGGGGACATGCTGGTTTATTTTAATTTTTTTCCCCCCCTTAAGTCTTGGAGTCATTTTTTTTTTTTTTTGGCTCAACAACTTTGGTCACCCCCGCCTCCCCCTGCAACCTTCCCCCCCCTCCCCCCAACAGAATTTTTTCCCAGGGTTTTTTTTGGAGGGGGGTGTTCAGTATTTTTGTTTCGACCATCTGCCAACCATAACAGTATGTGTACTGTACTAAATGATCTCCATTGTACTGCAGCAGTTAGATAGCCCAGGAAATGTATTTCAGCATGATGGTTATTCCGGGTGGTTAGAAACTCTGTTATGCTTCATAGCCACTATCAATGGAGTCAGGCATTATTTCTTTTAATTACAGATGATGGCAGCAAAATGACAATTAGACAGTAAAACCTACCTTCTTCTGCCTCTCTTTCTTGCCTTTGTAACATCTGTTGTTCTGGGGGTAGAGCTTGCTGGAGAAGCTGCATGTAAAATTCATTCTCTTTCTGCACTTCTTTTTGTTTTCTTAATCGCATTTTATAGCTGACGTAACTTTTGAAGCCAAAGCCCAAAGTCACAACAGGATAGCCAATACTAGAAAGAAGACACTTATTAACTGCTTTCTGATCATGTTACTGAGTTAATCAGATATATAATATTTCACACCTCAGTGCACACATCAGTAAAATGGAGACACTACTACTTACATATCATTGAGGTATAGCCTATAGGACCTAAATATTATTATTAGCTAATATGAATTTGAGTAATACAGAATGCTAGCAGATCACACCATTGACCAGGATGGTTAAAAAAATTAAAAATTTATTATTTTATTTAATTAAGATACCTTTGAGCAGTAATGTATCTCATCATGGATTATAAATTATAATTCTATAGTATGAGACAATATATTCATGCAGTGTTTAAGAAAAGTTTTGTAAAGGAGTTCCAACAGTTTGTGGATTAGAGACCCACTCTTAAGGGGTTCCAACAGCTTCTGTATAGATTATTTAGGTTAAACCTTTCATCCATCAGTAGGACTCACTGTTCAGTCTAGAAGATACTATCAGAGATGCTTAGTTCCACAGTTCTCAAACTGTGGATTTGCGTCTCCAGTGATAACATGCTTGTTAACAGCAAAAAATATTTTTAAATAAATAATATATAGAGGTGAGAAATTACAGGTCTCAACTCCTATTGTCCCTCTGCAAATCTGTATACGCAGAGTCAATCCCTTACCTCTCTCTAAAAGTGAAAAGTTTTAAAAAGCTCAATGAACAAAAGATTATTGGAGGCAGAATAAATCTGGACAAGGAGAAGTCTGGAGATAAATGTGAGAAAGAAGGGACAGGCAGTAGAAACAAAAGTGAATCTATTTGAGCAGCATATTCCAGAAGTCTTGACTCTGAGTATGGCCTTCATTGATTTGAGATCTACCATGCCATTCTCTCAGTAGAAGAGAAAACCTATAGTGGCAGCATTCTGTAAAAGAGACCCAGTTTGGGAATATTTTAATGACGTTCTTTTACCTGTGGGTAGGGTTGCCAGGTGTCCAGTATTGACCCGGATAGTCCAGTATTTTCGCTTCCTGTCTGGTAAAAATTTCAGAAAATACCAGACACCTAAAATGTCGGGTATTTTCTGATATTTTCTCGGCCTGGAGGCGAAAAAAGCAGACACCTGGAAACCCTACAACACACCCGGCAACTGGTCCCAACCCCCAGCCTCCCCCTGCCCAGCTTACCTAGTTCCGCAGGGAAGCTGCATTCTGGCTTGATCAAGAAAACAAAATGGCCACCAGCAAAAAGCCTAAAGCCTAAGGGGAAGCAATGCCTTCCCTGGGTCTTAGTGCTCAACACCAGTCCCCTATTCTGACTCTGCATGCACTCTGAAAGGGGCTATGATGTTTTAATGTTGTTTTATTTTTAAATTTTTTTCCTTAACTCAGAGTCCTTTTTTTTTTTGCTCAACAACTTTGGTTTCTCCCTCTTCCCCTCCACTTCAACAGAATTTTTTCCCTGGTGTTTTTTTTTTGAGGGAGGGAAAGGGGGGAGGCATGTTCAGTATTTTTGGTTAAACCATCTGTCAACCCTATCTGAACATGTAGGATCTTCAGGTTGGTAATCTTTTATTTCATACTTCTTCCTTAAGGACTGCCTGTCTTCCTTCTGGACTGTTCTTGAATTCTCATGTTTGAGCAAACAAATATAATTGTTACTCTATGGTACTATCATTTTTAAGTAGTTGTGATGAACATGGTTCAGTCATTAATACCAGGATACAGTCCACCCAACAGACCAGATGTCATAGGCAAATCGCTGGATAAAGCGTGTGTAAGAGAAATTGAGCTATGTGCAAAAAGTCTAGACCAGTGTTTCTCAAAGCGGGCTGCAGCCCCACACTGGGAAAGCTGCTAACAGGCCACTATGGTTTGTTTACTTCAGGGGTGGCCAACCTGTGGCTCTCAGGGTTACGGCTTGTTCGGAGCCACATGCCTGCTTTGTGCGTGTGCCCCAGTTCCGAGAGGGAGAAGTGTGTGGCTGTGCGGTGGCAGCTCCAGTGAGACCCAGGCATTGGGTTAGAACGGGAGGGGCCTGGGGATGCCTGGCTCTAGGGGAGGGCATTGGATTGTGGGGGCTGGGGATGGGCATTGGATTGCGGGGGCTGGGGATGCCTGGCTCTTTGCACTACTATTCACAGCTCTTTTGGCTCTTCGTGTCTAACTGGTTAGCCACCCCTGATTTACTTAATGGCTCTGCAGCTACGGAGCCTTGTAGCAGTGGGAAGGGTTGGCCTGGGCTATGCTGCTTCCCATGGCTCCCCTTGGCTACAAATGGCAAACTGTGGCCAGTGGGAGGCGCAAGGCTCCGTGGCTATGGAGCCGTTAAGTAAACACACTGGAGTAGCCCATTAGCAGCTTTCCCAATGTGGAGCCGTGGCCCAATTTGAGAAACACTAGTCTAGAGGGCAAAATTGCTAACCTGGGTCTTGATGGGTGAAGCAATGTCTGCAATGACCCTGTTGTATGTGTGTGTGACAACAGGAGAAGGGACTGTCTTCCTTACAGAAACAACTGATACTTCAGGAAATGCACACACAACAGAATACCTACAAGAAGTAGCAGTAAAAGTTATAACGAACTGTGGAAAAAACATTCAAGTGTCTAGTATGCAGCTTGGTCACAGACAATGCTACAAATGTTTCCAAGATGAGAATAAGTTTAGAAGAGAGAGAAGAGTCCTAAGCTAATAATCATAGAATCATAGGGCTGGAAGAGACCTGTAGGAAGTCTTCGAGTCCAGTCCCCTGCCCAAAGCAGGAATAACCCTAACTAAACCATCCCAGCCCAGGCCTTGGTCAAGCTGGGACTTAAAAACCTCTAGGGATGCAGATTCCACCACCTCCCTAGGTAACCCACTCCAGTGCTTCACCTCCCCCACTCCCCAGATAATTTTTCCTAATATCCAAACTAGACCTCCCCCACTGTAACTCCCCCATTGTTCCTTGTTCTGCCATCCATCACCACTGAGAACAGCCTCTCTCCAGCCTCTTTGGAACCTCCCTTCAGGAAGTTGAAGGCTGCTATCAAATCCCCCCTCACTCTTCTCTTTTGCAGACTAAATAAGCCCAAATCCCTCAGCCTCTCCTAGTAGGTCATGTGCTCCAGCCCCCTAATCCTTTTGGTTGCCCTCCACTGAACCCTCTCCAATGTACCCACATCCTTTTTGTACTGGGGGGCCTAGAAATGGCTGCAATACTTCAGATGTGGCCTCACCAGTGCTGAATAAAAGGGAATAACTTCTCTAGACCTGCTGGAAATGCTTCTCCTAGTGCACCCTAATATGCCATTAGCCTTCTTAGCTACAAGGGCACATTGTTGACTCATATCCTGCTTCTCACCCACTGTTATCCCCAAGTCTTTTTCTGCTGAATTGCTACTTAGCCAGTCGGTCCCCAGCCTGTAACAATGCCTGGGATTCTTCTGTCCCAAGTGCAGGACTCTGCACTTGTCCTTGTTGAACCTCAGATTTCTTTTGGCCCAATCCTGCAATTTGTCTGGGTCACACTGGACTCTGTCCCTACCTTCCAATGAATCTACCTCTCCCCCCAGCTTACTGTCATCCGCAGCCTTGCTGAGGGTGCCATCCATCCCCTCAGCCAGGTCAATAATAAAGATGTCGAACAAAACCAGCCTTAGAACTTATCCTTGGGGCACTGCTTGAAACGGACTACTAATCAGACATTGAGCCGTTGATTGCTACTCATCGAGCCCAACAATCTAGCCAGCTTTCTATCCACCTTACAGTTCATTTATCCAAACAATACTTCCTTCACTTGCTGGCAAGAATATTGTGAGAGACCATATCAAAAGCTTTTGCTAAAATCAAGGCATAATAATATATGGTTGCAGTGCTCATTTGATGCACCTCCTAGACAAAGACTTCAGTGTTCCAGAAATAAAGGCTAATGTTGCTGAAATATCAAATACTTCCATAACAACCACTTTGCAGCAGCTGCTCTTGAAAAAGTGGTAGGAACCAAGCTTACTCTACCGCAAGGTGTGTGATAGAACTCAGAAGTGAACGATTTGGAGCACTGTATCAAGAACTGGCCTAATTGGACAACAGTTTATGAATAAAATAGATGGCACTGTCACAGTAATTCTTTGCATCTCACAAGCCAACCGTCTCCAAATGAGCTGGGTGCACTAGGATAATATTTCATCCCACATTATATCTAGAATGTTTAATGGCTGCTAATGGGGAGACAAATTTTACCCTGAATGTGTACAATGACAACAAGTTTACTAATAAGAGTAGGGTCTTCTGGTGCTCTCTCCCCTCCCTTTCTTTTCTACCCTGAGCACACCTACTGGATTGGGCCCCAGGGACAAATCAGCTGCCAAATATCTAACTTTGTCCTGTTTCTCACACGGCACTGAAGATTAGGCACTCTGATGTGTGGAGTAGGGCTTCAGTGCACATATCGAGAGGCAGAAGAAGCATAGCTTTTATTGAAAAAAAAATTAGGTGTTGAGACAGTTAAGATGTCTACAAGTTTCAGTGGCAGCTGAGCGGGGTCTTTGTGAATCCAATGGGACCTGATTCTGAGATTCAGGTGTCTAAAATGGCAGTTAGGTGTTGAAGTCCTAGTATGAATCCAGTCCCCTATTTCCTGCATCTGCTTCTGCTCTATTTTTATTGCCTTTTAATGTCATCTCTATTTTATTTCTCTGCCAACGTTAATGTGATGGAAGGTTTTTTTTCCGTCTCGATGGTAATTTTTGCTGTGACATTTAGCTGGTTTTATTAATATTGTGTTATAATATAAAATTCAATAAAAATAAGAGAAGGGAAGGAACACTTACCAGTGTGCAGCAAAAGGACGACAAAGATCCACATGAAAGTTTTTGAGATCTTTAAATCTAATTGCTGCTTCTATATAAACAAAAAGTATCCACAGCGATACTGTTGGCAAACAAACACCTCTCTCTATGGAGAAAAGACAAAGACAAGCATCAGCAACTCATTAAAAGCAGCAAATACTTTTAAGTTGTTCTTTTAGAAGACTCAAATAAGTGGAAGTTAGTCAAGTCAGATGTATATCTATAATTAAATGAAGACTAGCTCTTGCAAAACAAAACCAAACCAAACCCTAAAGATGTTTTAATTAAAAGTTTAGCTCTAAAGCTCTGTGTTATCATCTAGACTCAACTGCCAGATATCTCAGAAAAATAAAGCAGAAGACAGAGAAATATCTCATTAGGCATCTAAAATATGGGTGAAGCCAAATGAGAAACACTGCAAAACTTTGTGGCAATGTTACAGTTTATGATCTTTGTATCAAGGAAAGGTTATTAGTACATTAGACTGAACTAGTAATACCCATTTAGGTATCTCTTAGTGACATGGTGTCTAAAACATGCTAGCCACCTGTGGCTATTTGGCCCATTGAATGTGGCTAGTTGGCTTGAACAATGGTTATTTGGCTAGTTTAATAGCCACTACAGGGGCTACTGATTCAGAACTGGTTGGATACCATGGTCTTAGTGCCTGAAGTGAATATGGCTAAAGTACTGGCATGTGAGCAAATGTGATAACTGAAAAGACATGAGTGGTTAAGCAGGGATGTAAGAGACTAGTCAACTAGTTGACTATCTGCTAAGCAGAAGCTTATCAGGACAGTCAACTAGTGATGCGACTAGTTGCTTTCCCCACCCCTTGCTGCCTCTATCAGAGAGAGGGGACTCCCTGCTGGCCCCACACTCCCTGAGGGGATTCCTTTTGAAATATGCAAGAGCCCCACCAGGGCTCTGGTATATTTCAAAGGCTGAGGCGCTGCAGGGAGCGCAGGGCCAGAGAGGTCCCCCACTGTTCCCATGTTCCCTAAGGGGTTTCTTTTTGAAATGTACAAGATCCCCACAAATGTACAAGGAAGCCCAGCACTCCCGGCAGGGTCTTGCTACAGTTCGAAGGCAGAGACGTCCTAGACTAATTGAATAGTTGATGGAAATCCCATTGACTATTTAATTAGTTAATTAATTTAAATGTAACATCCCTATGGGTAAGTATAACACTTGTTACCCAACAGACCAAGTTTGTTCCCCAAATGCAGCCAACAGTCTCCTTGACATACATTTTAGATAGATGAGCATTGGGAGCCCATCCTGACTTTCTTCTGCACTACTCTCACATTTTACTCTTCATTCGTGCAGTCAGGAGGGAGAGAACTTTCCTTATCTAGTAGAGAACAGAATTGCTGCTTGTGAATGTTATTCATGTGATATGCAATGATTATACTACAGGCCAATTTAAGTTGGAAACTGTTACCTTACATAGGTTTTGTTCTTTGTCAGTCATCCATATCACCCAGCAGTTTACTACATGCCTTTCCATTTACGTGAATGCAACTTCAGGGCATGGAGTCTGAACCTGGGGTTCATGAAACTCCAGGGAGCTGTCACCATTCTCCCTGCCCACACTGCTAAATGGGAAGGGCATTCCAGCTACATTTCAGCATGGAAGAGCCGCTACTCTCGTGTTATCCAGATATGGGGAATACAGCAGTATTTGATGAATGGTCAGACTCAATCACCAGTAAGAATGCTAATGATTTATTTTGCTGCAATTGATTGAACAACAGAACTCCCACTGACCTCCCACGTGTTTTATGGATTAATTCTGTGCAAGTTTTGGAACATTTTAAAC